GGGTCTAGTTTCAATCTCCTGCAAATGGAATACTACTCAGCTATAAAAACTAATGAGATACTGCCATTTGCAACAACATGGATGGACCTTGAGAGAATTATATTAAGTGAAAGAAGTCAGGCACAGAAAGAGAAATTCCACATGTTCTCACTCATTGGTGGGAGCTAAAAAAAAAAAAGAAAGAAAGAAAGAAAAAAGAAAAACAAACAAACTAATTCACCCACATACACACACACACACACAAAAAAAAAAAAAATCGGGGGGGGGGGGGGGAAGAAGATATAACAACTATACTTCCATGAAGTTGTTACAACAAGCAAACGGAAAGGACATTCTTGCGGGGTAGGGGAGAGAGGGAGGAGGGAGGGAGGTGTCGGTGACGGGCCATAATAATCATATACAGTGTATATTGACAAAATAAAAAAAAAAAAAAAAAAAAGAAAGGGAAAGAAATGGTGTGGTATCTAGAGGGCAAAGTGGGAGCTAAAGAGATTTATGATGGGAAAAATAAAAGCATGTTGTATGCTGACAAATGTGAGAGAGAGCAAATTTCATGATGTAGGAGAAATACCATTCAATAAACAAGAGTAGGAGATCTTGTGGACAAACGGAGGGACTAGCCTTAGCTGGAGCAAGGACATTTCATCTGTAATGACAAGGGAAAAGACACAGTAATGTACAGGCACAGCTGCTGGCAGGTGGTGGGAAATTATGGAAGTATTCTTCCGATTTCTATTTTCTCTATTTTTGTAACTTCTATTTTCTCAGGGAAATAAGATTTCTCTGGAAAAAGACCTGTGTTCTTTCCACAACACTCTGTATTGAAAAAGCAGCTGAAGCAGTAATATTAAAAATTCAGTCAATGTTGTTCATTTTCATATGCTTTTCCCCAAAATTTTTATTTTAAAAATACAAATAGACAATAATAAGTAACACTGTAGATCATCCTACAGTTTATCAACTGTCTTCACATATATTACCACAACTGATCCTGGCAAAAGCCGTAATACACGAGTGATAAGTGATGAGCTGGAACTCAAATACCAGCCCTCTGACTACAGAGCCTAGGTCTTTCCTTTGTCCCAGTTACTGAAATCTAACCTGGTACCTGTTATAGTTCATTGTACTTATTGGTGGATATAACTGTCTCTTCTAATATACAGCAAACCCCTTGAGGGGTGCTACCAGTATCTTTATATTCTTAATACCTGGAGTAGTGATTAAATGTTGCTCAAATGAATAAATAAAACTATCTCACATAGATGACAGTATATTAATTTGGAATCTTTGGTCAATGCATATATTGAATTTTGCATAGTCTCTTTTATAACATAGCAGCCTTGTGAGAGACTAGAACACGTGTCAGCAGCCGTTTTTGGTCAATATGTAACCCCAGCACAACAGGAACTTGAAACAATAAGAAGAGTTTCAACAAGAACAATATCTGCCACCTGACATCAGGAACTAATCCTATAACCTCAAATTACTTTGAGGCAGGGGAAGGCTATGTAGAATGACTGTAAGTTTAGCTGCAAGACACACTTAAAAGCCACTAATGTAATTAAAATACACTTGCAGCATTTCAAGAAGTTAATTACACAGAAGAGCATTCAATTTGCAATTCAATATTTTTCCCCACTTATTTCTTGGTGCACAAGCAATTTTCTTTTAAAAGAAATACAGAAGTCTCAGGCCAGAGAAGGACCATACACAGCACCACAGATTCCAATAAGAAGCAAGAACTCCTGCACAAGAGAATTCAAAGCAGCCAAGGTGTACTCCACCACCCCCACTTTCCTGGACCACTCTGTCACAAATACACTTGATTACAATCTATGGAAGCAGAACTTCACAGTTTGCCCACTTTTCCTCTCCTTGTATCCACCACATTCATCTATTTTTTTTCTTTCTCCTTTCCCCTCACTCTTCAATTCGGACAAATCTCATAGCTACAGAAAGTTGAAATGATTATACAATGAGACACCAGCATACCTTTCACCCAGGTTACCCAGGTATTAACTTTTTGTCACACACACACACACACACACACACACACACACACACACACAGACTTTGTAAAAGAAATTATTTTTTGACTGAACCATTCGAAAATAAGCTGCAGATATCACTCTTACTTTAGACTGATCTGAGAAAAATTCTTCAAACTTTCCAAAATCTGCCCTGATATATCTCACACATAAAACTATAAGCTAAATATAAATTAAATAGAGAAATAAACATAGCTAAATTCCTACAAATGTGAAATGATGTGTCCAATACGTATGCATAAGTAACTCTTACTTCACTCTTTTTTTGTATAGATTATGGATTAATAATAGCATAAATTAGATAGTGCCACTGACATGTATAGAACTTCATATAAGAGGGTGGTGCTAAATAGGAACTAGAAGATCTGGTCCATCCCCCATGCCCCTATTTTTAGCTGTTAAGCTCTCACGGGCCTTAGGCTCCTTATCTGTGAAAGGTGGCCAACATTCTCAAACCACCCTCCTCACTAAGTCCTGCAAAGAGAAAGAATAAATGGGTGATAGAAAAGGTAGACAGGACAATGAACAGAGGGAAAAGCACAAAGCATAGTACTATGTAAGCTGATCTGCAAATACAAACTCGTTTAAGGTCTGGTGCCATATAAACCAGTAAGTCAACCTCATTTTTTTTTTAATACTACTTTGTTGGGTTAAATCACAATCACATATTTCAGTATATGATAAATCAAAAGAAAAATTAATGGGAGATTACTATAATTGCTAAAGATTTCTTTTCAAAAGCACTTAATTAGTTTCTTTTCAACACCAAACCTTTAACCATTCATTGTTTTAGAAGATTATTTTGAAATCAATATATTTTAAGACAAATAATTGGACAAATACATTCATTACTGAAACAGCATAACACATTCACTTATGCTGTGCTTCACTTTAATTTCTTGGTTTCTTACCTCACTTGAAAAAGATAGTATCTGATTGCCACTACATACCAGACAATGTGTTAAGCACAGGGTACATAATTTTAATCAAGCTCTTGTTTTCATACAGTTTACACAAATAACCAAGATGTGTAATACTACAGGGTGGCCAGCATGGTAGACACGACTACTGTTCACCAATACCTAGTTTTTCTCACCCTCCTGGACACATAGAAAACTACTTCCCACCCCCCTTCAAGCTAGAAGGGGCCATGGGGTTAGTTACAATAAATGAAATGGAGCAGAGGTGATGTTGCTTCTGGTCTAAAACTGTGTGACCTCAAAAGGTTACCAGCCTCCATGGATCCTTTAATCATTACTTGGCACAAGCCTCCCAGGAGAGTCACAGTATCAACAGCAGTCTTTGCCACAAATAAAGAATAAATTTGTATGTGGTAAGCCACAGAAATTTTAGGACTTTTCATTTGCTTGTTTATGTGATTGTTTGAGTTATCAAAACAGAGCCTAGCCTATAGTGACTACTATGGCCTAAAGGAGTGTCTAACACAAAACAGCAGAGCTCAATACATAATTACAGAATGAATGAATGGTCCATATAAATATGAAACAATATGGAAGGAAGTATACCATGGTAGTTAAGAACTTGGACTGGGGAACTTCTGCCAGAGTTTGTACTCTAGCTCTGCCCCTTGCTAGCTGGGTGACCCAGGGCGACATACTTAACTACACTTCACTTTGCTCATCAACAGATGGGCTAGTAACAATACCTACCTCAAAGGGTTACTTAGAATTAAATGAACTAATACATGAAAAGCACTCAGAATAGCTGCCAGCATATAAAAAATGCTTAATAAATGTTGACGTCTAAGCAAATACAAGTAACAGGACTGATAGGTTGTTTTTCTAATATCTGGAAATATCTACTAAAAATGAGACCAGGTTAAATACAACACACTTTAGTTCTTCAGTTAAATTTGATATTTAAAAGAAGTACTAAAGTTGCCCTAGCATTAATTCACTTTCCTCATTTAAGACAAAATTATATTCTCATCTATATCTTGCAAAGGGTTTATTTGTCTAAGACCTATTAGCAGAGGAAAATGCTATAACTAATACTCACCGCAGTAACCCTGTCTCCACCATTAGTAACCTGCTTATAATAAGGTGATCCTGAAAGAACTCTCCAGGCAGAAAGGCCAAAGCTAGAAGCTTTTGATATGCCCACTTCATTAGTTTCACATCCACCAACCAGTAAAAGTCTAAAAAAGAGAAAAGTAAAAAGAATTGACAAATTGCAAATATGAGCAAAATAACAGCAAAACAAAGACAGCAGAAACAGTCACCTTCACAAAGAAAACTAAACTAAAATTACTATACATCAAACCTAGAAGGGAAATATTTTAGAGGAAACAATCAAATGAAAACCAAATAATTTTTCAATTAGAATTTCACCTTCATTTACACAGAATAAGACTTACACATTCAGGCACCTAGAACCCAGACAGGAACTCAGAAATGAGGGAAAAAAATTTTAAGGTTGGGCACTGAATATTAAAGAAACTGTATCAACACAAATAAACTTTAATAAGCAGCTGTGTAGTTTCACCCAGATACATTTGTATTAATTACAAAAGTGTCCCTGTGCAAGAGGGCACAATTACAGAATGTTACAAAGAAAGAGCAGCTGAGAGTACATGAATGAGAAAGAACCACACAGCAATAACTACACAGAAAAAAGACTGTTTAGGAGAGTTTAGCTGCACATTATGATTGGTTAACTTTTCTTCTTGGTTATATACTTCATTAACAATTGAAATACAGTTACCAACAGGGCAAACAACCTGACATATATTAAAAGCTAAAAGATATTAGTGTGTAACCACTATACGAACTAAGCTGATTAATAATGGAACCCAAACAGTCATGACTTCTAAAGTTAAGTTATGTTCAATAAATCTGGCAGGGTATCACAGACTCATAATCACCTTAAAAAGTCTAAAAAAAGAGAAAAGTTTGAAAGTGAAGTTCTGATACCTTAGCAAGAACACTTCAATTATCAATGAATTATCTGTTGTTGTCAATGATAGTAGGCAAGAGAGATAACAGAAGAGGGAAGCCACAGACTTCTCCATGTTTACATTTAAAATAAGCAAACAAATAAATAAATAACCACAGTTTCCCCTATTCTTTGGAAACTGACTACTTCCAAGCAGAGAAAGTCTTTCTCACTGGCCATGTCCACAGAGTGCTCTCCCCAACAATCTGCCACTGCTCCAAATGACAGAACGCAGAATCTAACTCCTTTTACATCGAAACTTATAAAATACCCATCATCGCCAGGATCCCGTTTTGTCAAAAAGAGGATGCACTTCATCACACACATTATTTACCTTTTTCTAGGCCACACTCATGGAAAAAACAAAACTTGAAAAATTTTATTTTCTGCATAGAAACTGAAAGGTAAAAGGAAACAACACTTCATGAGGTTCCTTAGAGCTGGCCTATCAAAAGACTGATTCAGTTATGAGGTTATGTTAACCATGAACTCTGAATATTGTCCCTTTAGGACCAGTAGAGGTGTATGCCTGAGGGTAGACAGAACTGTGCTATGTGTAAAGCAACACCTGTCTTCTGTTAATTCTACTCACTTTGTGTGGTAGGCAGAATAATGGCCCCCCAAAAGATGTCCATGTCCTAATCCCTGGAACCTGAGGGTATGTTATGCTATATGGATTTTAAGTTGACAGATAAAATTAAGGTTAATAATCAACTAACCTTAATATATAGAGATTATCTTGGATTATCCAGGTGGCCCCAGTGTAATCACAAGGATCCTTAAAGGTGAAAGAGTCAGTGTAATCATGATATAGTGTGAGAAAGACTCAACTGGTCATTGTTGGCTTTCGAAGTGGAAGGGGTCACAAGCCAAGGAATCTGGGTAGCCTCTAAACTGGGAAGAGGCAAGAAAATAGATTCTCTCCCTGAGCCTCCAGAAAGGAACAGAGCCCTGCCGAAAACTTGATTTTAGCACACTGAGACCCATTTTGGACTTGTGACCTCCAGAACTGCAAGATGACAAATATGTTTTACACCACCAGGTTTGTAATAATTCATTAGAGCAACCATAGAAAATTAATATAGACCTTATCTTTTCCCAGCCCCCAATTTCAGATGACTTACCAGGCTGACACAAACAGCTCTCTTCTCATCTGACCACTTGCTTTCTAACATGTGTTTCTGAACTAAGCAAACAACAGCAATTTAAAAACTCATCTCTACCGTATACTCTTATATCTTAAAAACTTCAAAACTACATAAAATCCTTCTAGGTTTAACCATGGAGCTTAGCCCAACTCAAAATTTCAGAATCCACAAAGTTAATATAAATGTACTCATGCACAGAAACACACTCAAGCCTTCACTTATAGCCTTTTTCCTAGTACTTTTATACTGTATATTGCTCTAACAAGTTAACATCACAGCAAATCAGCAGCAACAAATTTTGAGGTGATGTCTTGAATCAACCTATTTGGGCCATTTCTACCCTAGGAAAAATCCTCAGAGGTAACATAATTAACCCTGTTCACCAGAACAAAAGAGATTTTCATCCAAAGTCAAGCTAGTAATGCAATTATAACCTGCCCAGAGCATTCAATCTGCTCAAACAATTCTGTAAAATATTTCCCCCAAAAAAGGTATATCTAATGGAGATAAAATCATATTATCCCTCTGAATCTAACTACCAATTTGGAAAAAATACAGATGAAAGTAGAAAAACAATTTAAACTACACCACAAAGATGCGATCAACAAAACCTAGACAGTGGAAAACTACAATATAAATGACCTGGTTTATTCAGAACACACACACAAACACACACTCTCTCAGAGCAAAAGAGCAACAGAGAGGGAGAAAATGGAGAGCAGATCAATGAATTAAAAGGGAAGAAAGTCTGTATACTTAAAAAGATATTGACAAAGCATTGTTAATTATTTTGGGATATGACAATGGTATCATGTTTATGTTTCTTTATAATCCTTATTTTGTATAAATATGTGCTGAAATATTTAAAAAATCTTTATTTTGTATAAATATGTGCTGTCCAGGATTTACTTCAAAATAATACAGGGAAGGGTAGGTGGAGGAACAGCTGAGGACAGAGATGAGACGAGACTGGCCATGAGCTGATTGTTGAAACTGAGCGACAGGCTCAAGGGAGTCAGTATACTGTTCTCTCTATTTTTGTACATGCTTTGAATTTTACATAAAGAAAATTTTTCACAGAAGTCCACTTGTTCGGAAAAATTCCTCTGAATAAACAGAAACAAAACAGGTAATTTTGATTATCTAGAGTTTGCAATTTAATCACATTGTTTCTTCAAACAGAAAACATGTGATCATAACACATATCTTTAAAAATCAGTAACCTATAATTATAATAAAAATAAGAACACTGTTCAAAAATTCAACAAATACCCAAAAGGCCACAATAAAACAATTCTTTGACAACTGAAATGATTTTCCTCTGGTCAATGTGCAACATATATATTTGTTTTAACAACATATATGTTAAAGACATTAATATGTTCATGATATATAATTTCTATGATATTAATTACATTTATGTTAACATATATATGAAACTTTAAGTAGCCTGACTACTGAAGGAGCTACAGAAGCAACTGAGAATCCAGCTTTCTTACCTCCTGGTCTTTAAACTAGAAGATACTCACTCTCTATGAATTCTGATAAATATCATGGCCATAATACATTAGATTGGCTACAACATGATAAGCTTTATGAGAACAAAAGAGATTCAGTACCTGCTTCCGACCTTTTCTCCATTCATGCCAGACTGAAGAGTTAGTGGAAAAAGGAGCAGAATGATGAAAAAACTAATCATGTGTTGTTCCTACCAGATGGCATGGCAGCTTTGGGACACGAATTCTCCAGCTATGAGAATGCATATGTATTCACACATGTAAGCAGGCATGGGTGCTCATGTGTGTTTAAAAGGGGAGGAAACTGAGATGACTTCATCAACATATTCATAAAACAGGTAACTGGCAGCTGCTGTGTGCAGGGCAATGTGCAGGGCACTGAATGTGCACAGATGAACAAAGTATGCTCTCTACATTCAAAAGCTCGCTCTCTAACAGAGAACAAATAAGTGCAGGAAACAGGTAGAAGCATGGAATTAAGTGGCACAAAAGACGACAATCACATCTAAAGATGTGAAGCCAATCTATATCTACTGAAGGATGATCTTCAGTTATACATGCCAAGAGGTACCAACCAACCCCAATTCAAAAATGTTAATTTATTCCATTACTTTATTGCTTTACAAGACTCACAATGTTGACAAGGGCTAACCTACAAGTGATTAAGGAAATAAAAATAAAAGCAGGTTGACAATGATATTGGCCAGGTAAATAAACATTCTTCATCATGATCACAATGTTCAGAATAAGTTTCCAGGGCAACACTGGCCAGAATTGAGGTGGAATAAAGTTCCATTGGTAAAACAATGTAACTTAAAAACAACCAGTCATTGGGAAAGAGAGGAGAGGAATGTGAGGCTCAGCACAATGTTTCCTGAATGACTGTATGAATTTAAAGCTCCAACTTTCTCCTTAGGAAGCACAGGGTGAAGGTACCATATACACCCATCTTCCTACTGCCTGTCCTCACTCTTGCTAGGTTTCAGCAGTGACATATGAGGAGATAAGGTGGGGAGAAGGGAAGGATCAGGGTTTAAGGGAGGTGGGGGTCACACAATAATAAAAAGGGCACTAGACAATGCTAAGCCAAGTATTTGATAAAGCAGAGCATTAGGAAGAAAACTGCAAAATGTTTGTGAGAGATAAAAGAGACATGAATGAAGAGACAGAGATACCATGTTCTTTGGTGGACTCTTAATACCTTAAAGAGGCCAATTCTTAAATTAATCTAAAAAATGAATGCAATTTCATTTCAAAATCCCAGCAGAATTTTTCATGGAACTGAACAAACTGATTTAATGAAACTAGACAAACGTAAAATTCACATGGGAGAGGAGCATTCTAACAAGAGCCAACTCAATTCACACTGATTGGTCTTTCCCTTTATGAATTGGGCTTTGTGCATCATGACCTGTAAATATTTTCCCACCCTGGTGTCACTAAGATATTCCCCTTGAATTTGACCATATTAAAGTTTAACACTTTTATCTATAAAATGAAAAGATAAGTCACACACTGGGAGAAGTTATTTATAATAC